AAACCTCGAAAATACAAAAATATATATCTTTTAATTGGAAAAAATAGAATTTTTGTAATCTCCTAATCAAGTAAAGCATGTGACTACATTTTAAACCACTTTTTTGTTTTTCTCTGTTCAGAAAGTTTACACGATTCTATTTGTATTTATAATGGATTTGACCGCATGATATTCATAACGATACTGTAGACTATGGTGGATTGCACATGTTGAAAGATAATATAATTTGTAAGATAATTTATCGCTTAAAATGAAGCTGCAACTGGTCCATCAAATACGATGACGTAATAATACATTCACCAAATTAACCATGACTTACATGCAAAGGGTTTGTGTGAATGCTTGGTTTTGGATATTTCTCGGCTACACAATGTTTAGCACCGATGAACGAAACCGTATGAAACATCAAGTGTATCTATACAGTAATTAATTCCAGAACAGTAATAAATTCAAGAACAGTAATTAATTCAGGAATAATAATTACATGAAGGGTCAAGCTGTATTAGATTACTTGGAATATTACTTGGAGAAAAACCACAAAGATAAATGCTACACAGTTTCCCGAGTGAAACGATAATTCCAAATGGCCCCGTGTACACCAGGCCGTCTATGAAATGATAAGTCGCTTTTTGTTATCATAATTGGTATAAAATTGTACACCGGGGGGGGGGGGGGGATATAAGTTCCCGGGGGGGGGGGCGTACTAAGATTTGGTTTGGACGGGGGTGTGCCGCTCAAGCCTCAAAACCCCTGCCCATTTTTAAGAGTTATTTGGGGGGGATTTTTCTTGCAGTAAAGCCCATGGTGTACAGTGTATCTCTTTAAAGGGCCACTCTAACCAAAACGGGCTTTTAAAAAATGAAAAAAAGACATGTAGAACAATTTTTGACGAAGATTCCGAACTAGACAATGATTTTTCTTAGAAATCATCAATAATTGTAGAATCTAGCTTTAAAAATGACGACTCAGAACGCTCAGTATTGCGCAAGAGCATATGACGTCACTGCAGGATGATTTAAGCATTAAAATGTCTTTAAAAAGGCAAACAATGATGTTAATTGAAAAAAAAAACATTTATCCGAAAAATAATAGCAATTGATAATCCCAGTACGTTTCTGGCAATTTCGTCATTCCTAATGACTAATGTAAGACTCCTTAGTTGTAGGACAAATCGGACATGCCCGCAATGGCATCTAATGCGTCATCAAGGCCACGTGACCGTATTACCCTTTTTTCGAGGGGCGTAGCCCAGCAGGCGTAAAAACCGTGAAAATGGATATTTGTTATAATTTTTTTGTCAATTTAGAGATTTTCTGAAAAATCAGAGTCTGAAATATTAATAAGTAGAGGTGTATTCATGTTTTGAAAGGCTACGTTAGTTTGGTTAGAGTGGCCCTTTAACATGTTTAGTGAACTGATTATGAGATCGATAAGGGATCACAACGGTATTAAGGTTGGATATCTGAATATCAACAACCTTCGCTAAGCAGATGCGGTTTTAGCAGCAGAATCCTAAGATAATCTACAGTTAATCGTAAATTTGATATAAAAAAGAAGAAGTGTGTTATGATAATAAAAAAGACTCCCAAACCGTCCATGCAATCTCTTAAATAAAGGGTAACAATAAGCAAGTCCACACTTACAAATATCTTGGGTGCACTTTAAGATCAGATGGTAAACGTATTCATGAGATAAAGAAAAGAATTGCAATTGCAAAAGAAATATTTGATACGCTTAAATCCGCAATAAAAAAACAATGCAAAACCAATTGTCTTAAAGGCATATGTCTGGTAAGTTCTAGTCCACGGTGTGAGTGTCATGAACATACATCGTCAGTCGTGGCCCTCCATTTCTGTCCATTTATCAGCTATTCTTAAAAAGCTGGTAAAAGTGGTATTGCTGATTTCATTTTGGGTCGTCTAATTTTGTTCAGGCATTACAAATAATGTAATGCGTTGTGTTCTACGCCGGGCTCCTCTTTCTTGCAATCTTCCCTGTTGATATTGTTTTTCTCCTCTTTTCTCTATAATTATGTGACCAACAACTTGCACTTTGGCTCTTTTTTTGCTGTGTTGATATGAGTGACAATAAACAAATGGCTTTAAAGAGGATTAGAGGCTACAGAGACCTGGGTCTTGAGAAAGATTATGAATATATCATGGAAAGGAAGTTCACCTGGTCAGTTCTTTTCTGCTGGTGGGACTGTCGGACAATAAAGAATTGGCTTGAAAGTTCATTTGGGGCCACAGAGACCAGGTTCTCAGGAAAGATTATGAATATATCATGGACAGAAAAGATAACAAATGAGGAAGTGTTCAGAAAAGCAAGAGTAAAACCATCACTCATCAACAAAGTAAGAAAGAGGCAAATGCAATTTGTTGGTCATATAATAATTATAGAGAAAGGATAATCTAGCAAAAACAATATTAACAGGGAAGATTGCTGGAAAGAGGAGCCTTACATTTTTTTACATAGCCTGAACAGAATTGGACAATCCAAAATGAAATCAGCAATATAATACAAGCTTTTTTAAGAATAGCTGATAATATAATAGACAGAATGGAGGGCAATGACTGACAATGTCTGTATTAAACAGACTTGGCACGTGTTCATGACGATGAATTCATCAATTTGTATTCTAACTAATGAAATACAGCAAGTGATAACAGGCAATTGACAAAAGTCCACACTACTTAATTTTATGGCGGTAGCATATTTTTTTATGAGAACGATTAAGTGCATTTCTGTGTTGGTATGCAAATATACTGTATTCTGGTTATTGAAAAACAATAACATTTTAAGAGGTGAATGGTTCATATATTGCTCGTACGTAGGTCACCCCCCCCCCCCCCCCCCGTATCCCCCTCTCTCTCTCTCTCTCTCCGTTTTTTTTTCGCCATTTGATTGGGGGCACGCGCCCACTCTAGGTACGACATTTTCCTTGTTCTAGACACCGTGTCAGGCGTTGATGAATTTACTACTTGTTTAATTCCTAGTGATTGCCAAATTTGTGTGACTCTATGCGGGTAACGTGCGTGTAAAAGTGCCTTGCTACGTCATATGCGATGAACCCACTTTAATAGGTATGCCCTACTTTCAGTGGGTCAAAGACACAAGGCAATGTTTAAGTACCCGAGGGAAAACCCATCTTCGGAGATGTCACGCCCGCTAAACCTCCGAGTGTTTCAAGAGCGATGCATGGACTGGAATTCCATAGAGATTTTCAGCATCTCGCATTAATCTGAGCAAATCAAAATCTTGCCTGGCTGTCAGCTTCTCTCTGCTCAGAGCCAGAAGGGCATTAACTCTGTGTTAAATTGTATGAGTTACAGCCAATCTGGCTCAAATCAAAGGTAAAGACCAGTTCTGGTCATGCGATTGCATTGTGAAAGAAACGTTGTGGAATCGAACAGAAAAAGGTTGATCATCTAGCATCTAGCATCTGCAAGGTTCTGGAATCATCAAAATGATAAGAAATTTGGCCCATTTTTCGTAAAGTTACAAGCACTATACACAGAAAGATGTATATGGGACTACCCTATATCTCTCACAGACCATGAGAGAAACAAATTTACCAAATATATGAATTAGTAGGCGGTTTCCCGGCAAATTTTTTATCATCATGTATTAGTCAAAACATATTCTTTCACACGATTGGTAATGAGAGCTTCCATTTCATTTTTTGAAATTGGGGCGTTTCCAATACTGGTCTTTACTTTTAAACAGACGTGGTTTTATAACTTATATAAACGTGTACCCAACAGAAATGTTATCCCTTGTTGACCATAGTTACGTTAAGAAAGAAAGAAAATGCATCGTGGGATCGTTTAGGAACACAGGAACGGGGGGTTTTTTCTAGGGGAAGGGGTGTACCCATGGTTGATGACAACGCCACTGGTAACGTTCCACACTATCTGTACTATCTAGCCTTTTTATTTCAACATAAAAGTGTTTCGATGTTGTTTAATTGGGGAATCAAAGAAAAAATGATTAGGTGAAATAATCGTGATTTAATATAAAAATGGAGGATCGTGCTCACTAAATGAGAGAGCATGCATACAGGTCAAACGACCTTTGTGAGGAAAGATTAGTTGGATGAGAGCAATTCTCTTAATACCTAATTATTTATATATAATTAGTGAAGATGCCCCCAATTATTGATCACCTACATTTAGAAGCGTAATCCGGAAAACCCTTGTGGACAAAAATTTGCCTTCTTCCCTTCACTCATCGTCTGCTCGACAAAAGCCCGAGATGAAGCAAGATGAAAGTTAGAAGGATACGAATTAAGGCTAATACTCGTACATCTATATCTGGAATCATTCCCGACGCGAATAATCATCAATATCCCACACGTAACTATGGTAACAGATTTCCCTGAGGTAGTGGTGGCAGAAATTGACATCGATTGAGGTGAAAAAAGGATTTTCATTAAGTAACAGGATTTTCATTAAGTAGAAGGATACTTTGAATCTCAATTTCTTAATCTAAAGCTACAAACTCTTATGATAAAACATCAACAAAATTGTTGTATCATAGTCGGACTTGACTGGTGATTAAATAGCCCATAGCCAGCTGGGAGTGGGGGAGGGGGAGGGGCAAGATAGAATGCGCACAGGGATCTTTTCATGAAGCCAAAAAATTCCACAAATACAATTATTCGCAATCAATTGTTTTTACCCAAAGTGCCAAATAAAGAATTGGCTATTAAAACACTATGTTCATACATCATTACAGCAGATAATCGCTCTCTCGTGAGTAGATGTTAAAACAATAGTTTGTTTTTAAACTCTTATGGTTAAAAGAAATAAAAACATCATTCTTCGAGACGGAATGGAGATGGGGAATCATGAAGTTTTACATAATGACTAGAAAGTCTACAAATACAAATTATTCTCATTCAGTCGTTTTCACCCAAACTTTCAACTGTCACACAATCATCACGCATAAACATAACACTTTTGAACAGTGAGACAGAAACAAAACGCATAACATCAAACTTAATGATTTCTGTGGTTTATTCGGGTCACACACACGTATATTTTAAATATAACATCTTATATCTTTTCTAATTGCGACTTTCGCAAGAAACGGAAGAACTAGTGAGGATAAATACAATAAACATGAGACATCGGTTGTGATATTTTCTCTCGGAAGGGCACTATAATCTATTTTTAAACACGACGCACTGATGAATTACATGCATGAAAGTATTTGAAAATGTTATTCATATTATATAACAAGTTACTGCACCCATACCTGATGAAACTGGCAGTAACATTTTAGCTTCTTGTCTATTTGCTCTGAAAAGATGAAATCAGCGAGAACTTGCAAACAACGCTAATAATAGCTTGAATTCCATAAAACAGTGTTTTGTAATGAAGAAAGAAACTAAAGATGTAAAGGATTAAACAACTGCCAAACAAATCTTCAAGGAATAGTGAATCATCAGAAGTGAGAACTCAAGTCTCAGTTTAAAAAAAAATTAATACTGAACATGAGCACACTCCACAAAGCAAACTAAATGCAGTTCATTAAATTCATCAAAACAAAATATTTCTTTGGTGCATAAGAACAGATGTCAAGTTGTTAAACGAAAGGTCTTGCAGTGAAATCAATCAAAATCTAATGGAGTGTAAACATCCATTGATTGGCAGCAACTAGTAACGACAGACAAGACTGCAATAGCGACCAATAGCGAACAACAGTTTTGAAGTGACACTGAAAGAAAATAGATTAATTTTTGCAAAGACCTTTCTAGACCCCAGTCACCCCAATGGGACCGACACCAAACCAACATCAAGCTAAACAATATAAAGATACAGTCAAACCCGTCTACAGTGGCCATGCATTTTGTCCCTCGAGAGAGAGAAATGTATGCTGTAGAACCTGTCCAGAAAGGCCACAGTTTCTGTTTTCCCTACGCTGGCCTTAGTAGACAGGTTTGACTGTATAACTCAAGGGCCCCCTCTTATAATTGATCCAAATCAATCGCACGTTTGCAGTCCCCTATTTCTTATGTACATAGTTGCGATTGATAACAATCCCAAATAAGTTGCGATTGATATCAACTCTTTATAAGACTGGGCCAAGATGTCCAAGGATTGGTCGATTTGGATAGAGCCATATTTTTGGCTGTGTGTGACTGGGGTTTTATTGTTCAATCATGACCATAATGATGTAAATGCAACAATGCTTGGATAAAACTCAACCATTTCAACTAAATGAAAATTTAGCACATCATTTATCTCACTAGTATCGTCGCTGTTTTCACGAAGTTCGGTAGTGAAAAAAATTGCATTCACTTTGCGTGACGAATTTCCTTACTACCGTCACTTCGTGAAAACAGGGACGGTATTATCTCACTGTTAAGAAGTCGTCCAATATCACATATGAATACCCATAGTTGAGAGAAGGATAATCCAATCTCTATCCCCTAAAATCTTCATATCTTTTCATTTTGGCTTTCAGCAAGATGACTCCACTTCGAAGGAATGATCTGTACTAAACTCCAGGCGCGAAGAAGCCTCATAAAAAGAGGAATTTGTTGTGATTACAAATTTTCCCGACAAATTATATACCGAAGACATCAATGTTGGAGTGCAAAATTTGAAAATTGTCTTAAACAATTTTTCTTACTCTACAATATATTTTAAAGACTTATATCATAGCATGTCTTTGATGATTTAAATGAAAGCTTCAGGAGTTGAAAGCAATTTAACATTTAAAAAGAAAACTTTGACAAATAAGGGAATTTGGGGGTACACATAAATCTGTCTATTTAAAAACTAAAAGAATAATACATTACAGTTAGTTTTTAAAGAAGGAGCTGGGACTATCTCAGATACTTTTGACTCATGGATACATTTTCCTCTCTACTTTCATGAGGATATTTATAATTTGAATGAACATCAACAATGATACTTATTCCTTTATGTGTATGATGAATGCCTGTCACTAAAATGCAGAGAACAATTTATACATATATATATGAATCGACATCAAAAATAAAACTCTCTCATGAAACATAAAAACTGCAAAACAATCATACATGAATTTCCATAAAATCGTGGCCGTAACGTAATATTCATTTCTTTAATAAATACTAAAGCAGATTTTTGGTATTCTCTTTAACCATATTTAGCATCTCACATCACACAACCTCAAAAATATGTACTCTCTCAACATAATAACAAGAATGTTTTCACACAACACGGTGGCATATTAATGATGTCAATCATAATCAAAACACCATTTACTGAATAAATAAGGGAATAAAAGGGCACTTAAAACGGGGGGGGGGGGAGGGTCTGATGAGTACTTCTATGAAATGAATAGGTCATAATTGATAGTTGCAGCTGAGGAACTAAACAGATATTGCTGATAGACGATAGTAAAAAAAAAAGATGTTAGTAAATTTATCCCCCAAAATATCAAACTTGAATTAAATGTGGTCAATAAAATTTGCCTATTTTTTGTTATCTCATGTTCAACACTGGTCCAATCAACCACAAAGATAACTACCATCCATCGTAAGAGGGCAGTATAGCAATGACTAGCTCAACAATACATTGTGAAATTGGTCCCTCAGGTTGATTGCAATTACACATCATTCAGAATAAATTAAATCACAATTCACCATTATACACCAAGTTATTGTAAAAATGCGCTGTTTATGTCTGAACAAGAGATTTATTAGTGGTTTAATTAACGCTGATATTGATTTCCAGTTGATTATTTGAAATGACCTCCACATGTATAACACAATGACATGGAAAAATGTAGCCTGCTTTTAGGTGTGTACACATCAACTTCAAAACAATTGAAACAGCAACACTCGTGCTTTCATCTTTGGTTAGATTCCAGAAGACCCCACTTTTCAGACGACGCAATTCAATACTGACCATATATTAATATTATATTATTCTTAAATAATGACTTTATGTACAATGTTATGGAAATCATGATGTCGACCTATGCCTTAGCCAGCCAGAGATTATTTTCACTATGCACAACTTTTTGAATGAGATCCCAATTTAACTCAGGCTAAGTTCTTGACGAGGTTAATGTAAGGGGTGGATTTGTAGCCACAATGCAGTCATTTAATATCATTATAAAGAGTAAAACAGCGAGAAGAACCTCCCCGTGAGCACGCTCTTCATCAAAGAAAGCTTGCAACTTCCTCCATTCTTGAGATTGTGGATGGGTTTAATTTCAATAAGCCTGCAGAAGGTGCCTCCTCGTGAAGTGACCATTGACCTTGCTGCTACGACCTTGCTGCTAAGACCTTCCACACTCATCCATGTACTCTTCTTCTTCCCTTCTTCCCTTTGAGTACAGACCTCTTTACTCATGCAGCTTCAGAGGGGGAGCTTGTAGTTTGTATCAATTCGGCTTCTTTCGTTGTGCCCCCATCACCAGGCTTCTCGGTGATGAAATCCACAAGTGTGTTCACCCTGTTTTACGTTATATGAATTAATGCTTTTCTAGCTCTCAGTAGAAGGTAGCGATCCTTAAAGGTCATGACCCTGTGCTGAATAAAGGGCTAACCACAATCTGGCTTCAGCAGACGCTATAATACTCTCAAGTCCCTCTGCATTGTCTGCATGGCAAAAACCGAAGAGATATTGCCCCGTTTTATGACTTTCATATTTTGTTACTGGATAGTGTTAATGTGACCTTCCATCGATTTTGGAATTATTGCCTCTATGTTAAAATCAATGTCTTGGCAAGTCTCGGAAACCTTCAAATTGATCACATAGTTCTTCTTTCACATCTTGGCATTCAACGACGATTCACCGTCCCCATACTTCTCCATGAAGTTTGCATGAAATTTCTTAAATCTATCCATGACGTCGTGGATGAGCTCTACTGACGGGAGGATGGTCATCCTAAGGGGTCAAAGTGGAGGAAGAAGAAGAAGAGGGGAAATAGATAAATGACATAAATAACAGCCAAATAAAGAAATAAAATGAAACTGGATCTGGCAAACCTATTACCAGCAACTACAACCATATCACATTTTACTTCACATAGGTTTCTAAAACAAATACACAACCAAGTCGCACCACTGAGATCAACACCACATTAGCAACAGGCCCAAACAAACTTAAACAAAAATTTCATCATCATGAATGGTCAAAATTTTGCAATTTTCTGCCGGTTCGAGTAAGTTGAGTGGTACGACCTGAGTATGGGCTAGCTAAGCTTTATAGTAAAATGGAGGTGACACAGAAAGACAATGCTGGAATGCAAAATGTAATTTATAATGGTTGAAAATCATAATTTTGTCACATAGAGAACAATATCATTAGGGTATGGAACTGAGAAATAGGCCTACTGGGAAATACATGTATTACTTTGATTAGGCTAGATAATATTTTAATAATAGCAATATTAATAATAATAGTTGTATAGAGCGATTATCACAAATATGTCCTTATGCGCTAGGGAGAGGAGAAAAATAAAAGAATAGAGAAGAGTGAGATATGCTCATCATACTTTCTTACGTAACTGACACCACTAATTATCATGCTTTTCACGTTCAGGACGCAAATTTTGGCACCACTAGACAGATTGATCAAGGTACATCGGATGTGTTACCTGAAGTGATAGGTTCCATCTCTCTGGCCGAACCCACTGCCAGGGACGACACAAACACCGGCCTCTTCCAAGAAGTGTTCTGCGTAGAACAAATCTGGCTGCTTACCCATCTCCTACAACAAACAAATATGGAGAACAAAAATGTGAAGGGACTTCACTGTGAGACCGTCTGTGACATGAGTAAATATAGAAATATTACAATTGATGATTTTGGAATGTTCATAATTATATTTTAAAAGTTGTTTGATTGATCTGTTTCAGTACAAAGACATTCTATTATTCCTCTCCCTCTGTTTACAAGTTACTTAATTGTTGTCTAACTAAGTCCAAGATATTCACATTAGGTTTGTAATACTTTCAATGAAAAATAGCTACCACTATACAAAAGGTTCAAACTTACACACCAAAAATATTCAAAACTAAATAGCAAAATACACAAACTATTCAAGAAGCATTAAACTAAATTTATCATCTTCCATTACATGGGAATGATCTTATTACTGCAGATAACAGATTACAGAGAGAAAGCAAATATCTCTTGAAACTTTAGCAAATTAATTTTGCAGTCTCTACAGACAAAACAATAACAAAATACGACTGATGTTTTGACCTTAATGTGATAACAACTTCAAATAGCCTAGATTTTCATGATGTATTTTAACGGACATTCTTGAACAAAGAAAGGGTAATGTGTTTCTGTTTTAAGTTCAATTGGGTTCATTGAATTAAAGGTTAGATTATATCAAAGAATTTTAGATGCCTTCTCCTACAAAATAGCATAAGCGACAAATGTAAGGAAAAAAACATGTAAACTCGGTGGCAACGGAACACTTACCTTCGCCTTGTCTATTGCTTTCTGTGGCAATGTAATATTTGGAAACGAGTACATAGCCCCCATTACTGTGTTACACGTCACACCCTCCAAGGAGTTAAATCCATCTGCAACTACCTTGGCTTTCAATGCTAGGGTATCGAGGACGTTCTTCTTTTCCTGCAAGAAGGGCATAAGTGAGAATCCACAAAAATAGTTAATTAATTGTTAAACTGCAGGTATGTACACTGTATTTGCTGATCGTTTTTTTAAAGCTAATTAATTAGCAATGAATAATATATTGATGTAATATTCTTTGCATAGTAGTCAGGTTAGAATACTATCAATACCGAAGTGCATGGCATGGGTGAGGTTTAAAAAAACGTTTCACTGTTAATTTTTATGGTGGTATTACCCAACTACTATGAAAGCACACAACCAGGGGACTGACTGATAGTGAGTAATGCCTAATACCAAAGGGCCTAGTGCACTGACTTGATTTTCTCTGGGAGTGGTTGTCTGGGGGAAGTTGATTGTCGAAGGGGTAGCTGGTCTCAGGAGAATTTGAGTTGTCAAAGAGAAATTGTAGTTCAGGGGTGGGGGGGGGGGGGGGGTGGGGACCGAACAACTGTTGTTCTTGGGGGGGGGGGGGGGGGGGGTTGTGTAAGGTCGGAACTCCAGAGGGGATAAAAGACCTGGGGGTAGATGTCCCGGATCTTTCTTACCTTCTGAAATAGTTCATATGATTCCTCTCCTTCTTGTGGGGGATTCACTACAACATCCATTACAGCCTGTCAAGAACAAAGAAAAGAAAAAAAAAAAAATCAAAATCAAAATCAATATTCATGTTACATTCATATTTGTAGCACCTCGGAGGGGGTGACCCTCCCCATACCCCTCCTCCCCCCTCCCCCTCCTGCCACCCCACATTTAGGGATTACTGTGCAACACATGCTTCTTGTGACCTGTCAAATCACAACTGAGTCTTGCATACAAAATAACTGGAAACTGGATTTTCTTATTTATTCATTTATTTTTTCTTTCTTTCTTTTTTTGGCAAATCAATATCCAATTTCTAATTATTGCAACTTTGATCCAAATCAAATCTACAAAGTGTATAACTAATAAAACAGGATATCAACAAAAACATAAAAATAATAGAAAAATGACACATGATGACATATATCTTGTTTTTCTTTCCAAAAATGAGATATTACCTGTCCACTGACTGTTGGGCAAAGCTTGGCTGAGACAGCTTTAAAGAGTTGTGCCTGAGCATCAGGGTCAATGTCTACTAGCTCACAGTATCCACCTCTTAATCCACACCTACAAGTAACAAAGAATGAAAATGATTAAAACAAATTTAGAAAAAAGATTTACAAGTTCTTTTCATGTTATGACACTAACACTCTGTCAAATGTTATGGAAAGCAACATGTGTTTAATACCCAAATGGGAGAAGAACAAGAATATTTAACTACAATAAACAAAATACAAAAATACATTTTCTGAATGTTTGTTTGTTTTTCAATGATTTCACGATACAAACATATCAAATTTTCCATTCTGTATTAAAAATATCAATAGTATCTTTATCAAATATGGATGCACAAAGCTATAGACGAATAAGCAGGTCAGAAAACATTATCTATTATTACAACTACAGTGAATGTAGCATAAATATATCTTCTCTTCAATTCAAATGAACATTGCAATAGTTAGTATTGAAAAAAAATAAGATGATTCATAGTATGCACATTTGTGTCCTATTTTTTTGTTTTGTTAACATCTTATTCATTTTTTGTGCAAAGGGAATTTCACCAACAACAAAATCAAATGTTCAATATATCATATTGACAACATAAAAAATGTTTTACATCAACTTCCAATCCACTAATTGAACTTACTCTCCCATGTAGCCCTTTGACGTTGACATGAAAGACGCTAGTTCTTGTCCTGCGTAGTCAGGGCCGAGTTCATGAAGTACTTTCTTGAAGGAATAGAACTTGCTACCAGGAGCATAGACATTGTCTTGATATACCTGCCATACACACAAAAATAATTACAATTTGTATTAATGTTAAGTCATTGACTCCTGGAACCGAATGTCTCCTGTATTAAGCCTATGGGAATTATCTGATGCAGTAGTCAATGGGTCAAAGATAAACTCCAGTTCTGGTAAAAAAAAGAAAATTAATTCTCACAGAATCAGACGACACTTACACTGAATGTTCAAGATTACAAATAAATGATGTGCCAAACAATTTTGGAAGAAAATGTATACTGGCTGAGTAATGAGCATATAAAGACAAGGAAATCAAGGTAGTACTAGCCCCGACACCATGTGTGTTGTCCCATATATAGCTTTCTGTGTACAGTGCTTGTTACTTTACCAAGACTCGGTCAAATTTGAAATGATTTTGATGACTCCAGAACCATGCAGTGCACACCAATACTTACATGTACATGTTACATGATCAACTGTTTCTGATCCTTTCCACACCTTTTCTTTCACAATGCAATCGCATTATCAGTACTAAAGTTTATTTTTAACAGTTTCATGATAAAACATTGCTTTTCAACACAGAACTATAAAATATCAGTTATCACCAATCACACCAATGTTCTTTTTTTATCAATTTATTTCATTACTTTTACTTTGGATTTGGTCAACAATCCCCGCCCCGTAATTATATCAGTTTTTATGAAAGATGAATCAAAGTATTAGGTATACAATGACACTTGAAAGAATTTTTCTTGTGAATTATATAAAAGCATAGATCTTAAATCTTATTTTACATGTAAAGTCCAACATATTAAAGGACATCACAAGCAGTGCATACCTACAGAAGGTACACATATGCATGGAAAGTCATTGTTCTCTAAACTTAAATAAAAATGTGTTTACTCTCACCTCATCGGCTAGTATAAATAGATTCTCCTTGTATGCAAACTTGATGATGTCCTCTATGTTTTGCCTGCTGAGTACCTGACCTGAAACGCGAAGAGTACAAGAGACATGTATGAGCATTAGATGGAGGGTTGGGCTTCAATGTTTGTTTATTTAAGAGCACAAAAACAAACGGTAAATAATAGTGAAGATGGTGTGAAGTGAAACACATGTTAAACTAATAATGTACTCAACTTTTCAGATGGTGTAGGAAAAGAGAGAGGGAGAAAAAACATGGGAAGGGGAGAGAGAAAAGGAGGGAAAGTGAAAGCAAAGAAAAGAAAGAGGAGGAAAGAGAGAGAAAGGAATAAAGAGAGTGGAAACAGAGAGAGAGAGAGAGAGAGAGAGAGATATAGGGATAGAGAAAGAAAGAAACAAAAGAGAAACATATGACATAAAATCTGTTTATAAAAAATAGTGTTTGTTTGAGTGACCTTGGGAGAGACATACACGTATCAAGACAAACATAGGAAGGGCATACAAGATCACAACCCCATTTTATAAGTATTATTTACAGAAATAATGACTCAAATGACTGCTTTAACGACCCTGGTATCCTTACTTTTATCACCTTCGCACAAAGTCATGAACACATATCCCAGGGTGTCTTCACTTTTTTCAGGTAATACATTACATAAAACACATCACCAGCTGTGCCTATAGGTTCATCAAACTCAGATAACACATTGCCCAAGATTGTAGCAAGATCACGTGACAGCCTCATGACTTGAAACAAATCGCTTTTCTTTTCCCCTGGCATCAACTTGTTTTCAAGATTGCAGGCATGAGTTTTGTGTTTTGTTTTGTTTTTTAGCTTTTTTTTACCACTACAGAACATGCTGCTTGTTTAGAACTGCAATTCAATGCCCTTTCTTAAATACTGATTTTACAGGACACTTGACACCATTAAACTGCCAAACAGTATTAAGTACTGTACAAACAATTGCTTGAAGACAACAAATAAAACATCAAAAACAGAAAACATCCAGGGTGCAGGGGGTTTGCATTTGATCTAGGGGCAGTTGCCCTAAGTTATTCTACCTTGTGGGTAGCTACTTGACGGGGTTTATACAGGAGCAGTTGTCCAGGAGGTGATTTTCCTAAGGGGTCATTTTCCCCATAAGTTTTTTTTTCGTTTTTTTGTTTTTTGTTGTTGTTTTGTTTGTTGCCTTTTTTTTGGGGGGGGGGGGGCAATTGTCCTAGGGTAGTTTTCAAATAGCTACTTGTCTGGATACGCCCTTTTAAACCACCTACCTGTGGGGTTTCCTGGGTTGATGATTACAATAGCTCTAGGTGTACAATGCTTCCTTGCCTCGTTGATAGACCTCTGAAGCTCTGCCATGTCAAGACTCCAAGCATTGTCTTCGTCGAGGTAGTAATTGATCTGGAATCAAAACAATAGACAATGCATGAGATAAAACTCATAGAAACACATCTAGTCGTATTGTAAGCCAACCAAATACAATGGACCAAGGGGGTCATGCTGATTGTAAAGCACACATCCTCTATTTAACAATATTTTCTCCAGAGTCAATTTCTTATCGGGGTAATAATCGTGGAGCGCCAGGAGTGTGTCAAGTCTGACAGATATGAGCGCTGTACAAGAACCCACTATTATTATTATCAAAAACTTCTCTTATTAGTCCTTACTTCAACCATGGACCCAACCCAACTCCTAACCAAAGTAACCATAAACCCCCGCAAAACCAAACTCCTAACCAAGGTAACCATAAACCACTGCAAAGCCCAATAACAGTTAGCCCAAACAATCCACCTTGAACTAACTAAAAAGCCAAAGTGAATGCGCAAAAAGAAATCACCACCATATTACACTCATGCGTCACGAGAGAATTTTTTTATTAGAGCCCTTTTATGCAATACATGTATGTTGTACATGTATCCATACATCTGGAAATGAGTACTAGTAATTCTACATCAGATTTGAAAAAAATTAACATAGTCTGTCCCAAATCTGCACAAACATTTAATGACCTCCATGAACACAAATGTAAGATGATAATTTACAACACGACATGATATTCATAAACAAAATTACTTCCACTAACTGCAAATGTGATGGCTTGTTACCCAGTGAGAGATGAATGCAGTAACTTTTGTATTATGATTACCTGTATGTGCTCTGTCTGGGAATTTCATAGTATTTATATTGAAAGGAATCCCTTTACAGTAATTCTGTTTTTTGTTGTTGTCTGTTACCTGTTTTGGGATTGAGGTCAGTCCATTCTGTTTACAAACTTTGTCAAACATCCCTATCACTATTAATTATCAGGTAAACATCTTAATTAGGATGAAAGGTGATAATCATGTTCCTATCGGCAAAATGCATTTTGCCAAATCCAAATACGTAGCTGTCAAATTTTATGACAACCTCGTCAAATTTACTAAAAATATTTTTTGAATGCATACCGTGGTTGATTTCTAAACATAATTCTTACAAGACATCCACAATTAAGAAATATGAAGGTTGCCAGCTAAAGTTAAACAGATGATTATTTTCATGACAACCTCGTCAAATTTACTAAAATTCTTCTTTGAATGCATACCCTGGTTGATTTCTAAACATAATTCTTACAAGACATCCACAATTAAGAAATATGGAGGTTACCAGCGTAAGTTGAACAGATGATTATTTTCACATGAGAATGGTACCTGTGTTGCATCGATCTCTGCTAATGAAGCTGAATACAGGGGATACTGTGGAATGGGGATCATGACACCAGTCTTGCCTTTGCCTTCTCCTGACACCAACATCTTAAGTACAACCTAGGAGAAATAAAAAGTAGAGCAGACAAAAGATTAAAATTTAAATAAGATAAGATTTAAAGAGAAGGTTGAGTTCTGGGAAGAGGTGAAAAATAATTTGTGAGCATTACTCATTCTTATTATGCAAGTGTGGGAGAACATCAGTTAAAGATGAAGTTGAGTTCTGGTCATGCGATTGCATTGTGAAAGAAACGGTGTGGAATCGATCACAAAAGGTTGATCATCTAGCATATAAGAATTTGTGTGTATTGCAAGGTTCTGGAATCATCAAAATGATAAGAAATTTGGCCAAGTCTTGGTAAAGTTACAAACACTGTACACAGAAAGGTGTATATGGGACTACACGAACACGTGGCGTAAAAAGCCGGCCCCCGATTTTTACGATGTTACATGCATATTTAGAATATGAAGGCATTTGGAGAGCCATGCTTTTCAGGGAACATGTCTTATCTGATGTTCTTCCACACTTGCATAATAAGAATGAGTAACGCTCACAAATTATTTTCCACCTCTTCCCAGAACTCAACCTTCTCTTTAAGACATGTTTCCTGAAAAGCATGGCTCTTCAAATGCCTTTATATTCTAAATATTTCATGTAACACCGTAAAAATCGGGGGGGGGGGGGGGGGGGGGGCGGCTTTTTACGCCACCTGTTCGTGTAGTCCCATATACATCTTTCTGTGCAAGTGTTTGTAACTTTACCAAGACTTGGCCAAATTTCTTATCATTTTGATGATTCCAGAACCTTGCAATACACACAAATTCTTATATGCTAGATGATCAACCTTTTCTGGTCGGTTCCACACCGTTTCTTTCACAATGCAATCGCATGACCAGAACTCAACTTCATCTTTAAATAGCTTTAATTTTGAGGGAATAAAGAGCAATAAAGGAAATAACCATATTGCCATTTTTAAGAAGAAAAAGTTGGTCCAGTGTGTTTGTAAGTTCTTATAAAATATGTTCTTGATGGGCTACTTATAGAATAGCAACGCTTAAAATTCTTCCAATTCACAAAGACTATTCAGTTTTCTTTATCTGGCTTTGCTTGAGTGGTCCATGGGGAAAACCTTATACTATTACTGTTTTATAGTCAAACAAGACATGTATACATGTATGTGAAACAAATTAGCTTTTCTCATCTGTTTTATAATACGTGCTAATGCTAATGGCACCTTGTTCAGGCAATCAACTGTTTGTTGACTGTTTCAGATTCAGGCTTATATCATAAACTGTATTGGCTATTGAGAGCCATAAAGGCATTCACTCTTATATCAATTAAATGCATATTTACAAAGGAGTTAATGCCCCTATGACCCCCAGCCATCAGCTGACAATATTTAATATCACATCATTCCCTCCCCCACCACTTACTTAAACAATTACAATTCTAAAAGGTGCCTAATCAACCGTACACCACGTTTCTGAATTTAGCTCCATTATCAATTATCTGACCATTATGCCCAAGTAAACATCAGATCTTCTTCATTAATTATCAATTATTCCCATCAGTATACTCACTCGGATAGCCTCGCTGGCTCCGGCAGACAGCATGATGTTCTTTGGGTTGCTCTCCAGTCCCCCGTCTCTCCTCTTGATGTATTCCGCGACGTCATTCCTGATGATTTCCAGACCGATGCTCTCACTGTATGAACCTGATGGAGTGAAACAAGAATATAATGCTGGGTTTAGTTGGTGAGATAATTTGTCTATGAGATAGAGGTTGGTGAGATTTTCAAGCAATGTGAAACTTTGTTGGTGAAACGACAGACTCTTGAATCTTCCCCATTTCTTGTCATACCCTTTTTACACATACTGTACACCATACAAGTCAGATGCTCTCACTTTATAAACCTGATGGAGAGAAACAAGAATACGAAGTTGGCTTGGTGAGATATAAAATGAACTTATGAGATAGAGTTGGTGAAATTTCAAAGACGACAGACTCTTAAATCTTCCCCATATCTTGTCATACCCTTTTTGCACATACACTGTACAACTACAAGTGTACATCGTAGACACAAGCTACAATGAGTACAGTGTATCACTCCTGAAAAGAATGAAATGCTTTGGAATGGTTGGGATAAAAGTGGCGCCATGACTATTCTGTTTCATACTATACGCTGTAGTTGGGCTGTTGTTCAAGAAAAGATGGACTTAAACATATAATAAAGGCTGTAGAGTTGAACAAACTTTATCAACAACCTGTTACAAAGAAAGAACACCTGTCTATAGCAAGGTCATTTTTCATTTCCCTTGAAAATCATCTCTCATTGAAAACTGTACTAAAGACCACCTGCCTATAAAGATGGATTTTCTTGTCTTCCTTGACTTGAGTGGTCTTTACACACAGGTTTCACTGTATTCTCATGAATATTCTCGCCAGTATGGTTTTCAAATACATCAGCATACATGTACATGTAAATGTATTCACAATTTAGATTTTAACTGAACCTTTGCAAGAAAAAAAACCACAGCCCACCGTAAGGCACCATTGATAGAATGCAAGAATGGAAAATTCTCCCACAAAAATGATATCTGTCCACCACCTGTAAAACTCATCATCTTTATTGAAATTAAAAAGGGAAAAAAAAAACATGCATCCTTCAGGTTTAGCCCAAGGTCAATCTGTGCAATACTAATACTGGTGGGTGTTTATAACTTCAGTGAAAATGTGTTTGAGCAGTGGAGCACTCATCGTCATTTGTCACGTTTGTAATACAAATGTTGTTTTCAAATTACCTTTACATGCATTTGGTAGGCCTACACATACATGTACATGCAGTTTTTGCACACCTTAAAGTTGTACATTTCTAAATCAAGTCTTCATTCTAGTGTTATCTTCCCATCCACCCAACCCCACCCTCTCAAAAAACGTACATGTATATTACCAATAAACTACTACCAGTACAATGTACAGTTTACATGGATACACCCACAATAAGCAATTAATAAATTGCTTGCCTGTATTAAGGGCCCGCATTTTAAAAAGTACTTGCACTTGGTAAATTGTACTGTTAAGCAATGAAGTCCATTGCACCGCCCACATGTACAATGTACATGTACTTGCACAGGGATCAGCTTAGGCCATTTAACAAAATATACATGTTTAGCGTCCCCGCCCGCATCCTTTTTGGGGGCCGCCTCCTATTTTATTTTTAATTTTTTTTTGAAATTTTTAATTTTTTTTGTTGCTTTTTTTGAAATTTGTTTTGGATTTTTTTTTTTTAAAGAAAATAAACATGAAATACACTGCTAAAATGGATCTATTTCTGATTAAAAAAAAAAAAAAAAAAAAAGTTTCGGTGGCCATCTTGAAAAATAGCCCGACTGTCAGGAAAAATGTACCAAGCGGCCATTTTGAGCGGCCATTTTGAAAGAAAAAAAAAAAGGGCCTCCTCCTTCCTATTTTTCAAAAAAACAGGACGCTAAACATGTTTTTTTTATTTATTTGGCCTTAGCTTGATAATGCATTAAATTTGTTATGTACAGTACATGTACATACACAGTCAAACCTGCAATAGTGGCCACCTCTGTATAATGGCCAGCTATCTATAGAGGTCCTCTAGAAGGAAATGTGTAGCGAAGAACCTGTCTACAGAGGTCACTTGTCTACAGTGGCCACTTTTTGTGTTTCCTAGGGTGACTTTAATAGACAGGTTAAGCTGTATTATGCAATATGTATGTATGTACATGTACATTTACGTAAGACAACTGTCAACTGCACTGTAGGCTACTGTCAACTGTGTACAAATTCTGACAGGCCTACAGTGTATTTTCCTATTTAAACAGATGACTGGTACATGAACTTCAACAAAAATAGCAGTTCTTCATCAAACAAACAAAATATCAGAATTAAAAATTAACTATTGAAAGCTTTTCCTTTATAACTTTATCAACACTTTATCATATAATATCTCATTTTCTGATAATGATTTTTTTATTTTTTATTATTCTACACTTTGAACCTCTTCAAGATTAGGAGTGTGGAATAGATGCCACGGTGAACCTTTATCAAAAACATGTCTGCAGCTAAATTGATTTTACTTTTTAGATGATGGCCTCCAGTTTCAAACGGCAAAACCAAATAAATTGTCTGATATTCATGTTATACCGTTCTCAATGTACACATTTGAGTCATGTATCATATACCGTAGATGTTGGCTTACCATTTAAGACAAACATAAATCAATCAATCAAATGAATTCTATTAATATGTATTCTTAAATTGCTTTCATATTCCCAATCGAGTCCTGAATTGTTTTTATACGTGTTTGCCTACAGTTTCATTCAACAAATTGCTGAATCTTGTTTGATTCTCTTTAAAGTACACTGTTTTCATATTCACAGTTGAGTCCCTAACACCTGCAGCATGTACTACCAACTTGCTCTGTATCCAAAACCATGCTATCCATCCTAGTTATTTCAAGCTTTCTGAGCACACTTCATCTACTGTATGCCTTGTTTCCATGGCTCGCACACAACTTCATATTGTTCCTACAAACTGTATGTTTGCTTTTTGACTTAAAGTATATATCCACAATCTACATGTACATGAATCTCCCTATCGTTCTTCTTTCTATTCATCTATCATAAAAGAGTCTTGTGGATATTGTGGATAATCTTCTGCCATTCTCCATACTTAATCATCATTGAAAAGTGAATAGGAAAAAGGGTTGATGAGTCCTGACCTAGCACCAAGCAAGTGATACTGATATCCTTCACCCCTGTGTTTGGGCTTGGACCAAATCAGGGCTCTACCACTTTCTGCAGTGAATATGAAAGAGAGGGTGAATTAGTGCCTAGTTTAAGGACGCACAGTAGTGGGCTCTCGGTGGGAATTCGTCACCATTCGGGTGTTTACCCAATAACTGGGGTTGTCTATCACCAGGATTAGCCTCCAGTTTTCTGACAACAGGCCTTGTGTCATGCTCTGCATTTTCCACACATCCCCCATTAAAAAAATTACATTTCACTCACACAAAGACTTTCCAAAAGACTAGGGGTATTATTTTCTTGATGGGACTACAGGTTTGCTGTGTGCAAGACTTCTACACGTAACACCTCTTGATGGTATTTTCACCAAGTCTGGTGTCAACGAATTATGTCCTTCTGCACATGGATGGAAACTGACTACCTTCTCCCTTTAAATCACACACTTGTCCCAACATGTGGCAGTAAAAACACCTTACAAATGCCCCTGTGGAAGAATAAATTAGATACGCAGGACTCGTGCCACAGAAATGTTTTTTACCCGGTGACCCAGGTACTAGTATTGCCTCTAGCTCTACAGTGTACACAACACGAATCATGCGGTATGTAGATGCCGAAAGCTCTTGCAGTTCCTACAGTACGTTTTCACATGAGAGAATTTACTTGTGTACATGTACGTTATTGCTACTAGTACTGGCTACTGCCAAACGTAGCTTCATAATAAAAAATCTATATTATTCCTTCCTCTGTTTTTAAAGATGGGATTACATGTATGACTGATGTAAATCTTTCCAAGGGTGAGAACAGTTTTCATTGTTGATGTTGAAGCTTTAATACACCAAGCATACTTGGAATAGCCCTACCATGTACGTCATTTCAATCCACATGCACAGACAGTCAGACACACACCAGAACATGCGGAACTCAAACTTAATCTGTTTACTGAACACACATTGCTTTGCGAGTAAAAATTGCGACATGTGCTCCCATCACATAATGAAATATACTCCTTTGGATTGTTTTAATTCATTGATAGTTGGCACCGATCCAATACCAATGCACCATATTCGTACTGTATACACACACCCAGTATACAGTGTATGAACATAACCGATGTACAGTAAAAGATCACTCTTTGAAGGACAGTTATGAAAAAGGACATACTAAAGTTTTTTGTCTTGCACCCATTGGAGTAAATCGCAAGAATGAACAGAAAGATGAAAAGGTAAATTAGTATGTCTGTTTTCATTGCTATTCTTAAATTTAGTAGAACCATTCATGTCCATAGAATTTAGATCACTATTCTTTGAAAGCTTCAACTGAATACTAAGGTTGGCAAAGTATTTCATCTAAGCCGAAAACTTAGCAAAATATTATATTTCTGTAGTTCTTGACTTGAATACCGGCCTTGGAGCTCAATCACACCCTGTCATACATGTATGTTTACCATTTCATTGAGAACTAAATTCCATTGATGATGATTAATCTATACTCTATTGTTAGTTGATACAACGAAAAAGGAACATTTTATGTGGAATTGGGCCTACTGCCGCCTACTCTGTACATGTAATTTTAGCTCGGCTGAACATTTATAGAATGCATCTAGTGCACATTCCAGTTCATGTACATGTACATGGCTGCACATTAACTTGTCAACAGGGAGAAACAAGGTGAAAAGGGTGAGATCCCGAGTTCATCACCAGGGTCAAACCTTCTACAATGACTTCCAATTTCAAGGTTCAATGTAAACAGAAATTTTCCTTTTTCTTGCAAGCCTGGCTGCAGAGGTTTGTACCAGGTCCCACAAATTTCCACCACCAAAAAGTATGGGTTAATGGCATTGTTCCAGCCTTCCACATTTTTGTTTGAGTTTTCAGAGGAATAAACTTCAAACAAGTTTTGGGTCTTAGTTCGCGTTTGTATTTCAAACGCTTTTTACATC